TTTATTTCTTTATATCGTCTTGACTTCCCCTCCATATGAAAAATTTATGTCTGCATTTTTTTAAGTCCCTCTCTTTTGTTTTAATGTTGTCATATTTTACATATCGATATTTCTGTTTCTCTATTTTCAGTGTTTTAGTTTTGATGTATTTTTGTGACTTCCCTATCTGAGTCGATATCTGGTTGCTCTGTCCTGTGTTCTAGTCTTGGGTTGTTATCTGATGTTAACTAATTTTCTAAGCGGAGGACCTCCTTTAGTGTTTCTTACAATTTTGATTTGGATTTTGCAAATTCCCTAAACTTCTGTTTATCTGGAAATACCCTAATTTTTCCATCATATTTGAGAGACAGTTTTGCTGGATATATAATTCTTGGCTGGGAATTTTTTTCCTTCAAGGCTTTATATATGTCATCGCATTGCCTTCTTGCCTGCATGGTTTCTACTGAGTAGTCCGAGCTTATTCTAATTGACTCTCCTTTGTAGATGACTTTTCGTTTATCCCTAGCCGCTTTTAAAATTCTCTCTTTATCTTTGGTTTTGGCAAGTTTGATTATAATATGTCTTGGTGACTTTCTTTTGGGATCTACCTTATGTGGGGTTTGATGGATATCTTCTCATCTTTCATGATATCAGGGAAGTATTCTGGCAACAAATCTTCAACAATTCTCTCTATTTTCTATTATCCCTCCCAGTTTTGGTACTCCAGTCACTCGTAGGTTATTTCTCTTGATGGAGTCCCACATAACCTCTTAGAGTTTCTTCATTCTTTTTAATTCTTTTATCTGATTTTTCCTCAAATAAGTTGGTATCAAGTACTTTATCTTCAGTGTCACTAATTCTGACTTCTGCCTCAGTTCTCCTCCTATGACTTTCTGTTGAGTTGTCTAATTCTGAAATTTTATTTCTAATCTTCTGAATTTCTGATTGCTGTCTCTCTGTGGATTCTTGTGGCCTATTAAATTTGTCATTATGCTCTTGAATAACTTTTTTTTGAAGTTGTGCTACTGCTTTGTCTGTGTGTTCTTTGGTCTTCCCTGCATTTTTTGATAAATTTCCTTTCTAATTTCTTGAAGAGTTCTGTATATTAATCTTTTGTATTCTTCCTCTGGTAATTCCAAGAAATTCTCTTCCAGGAGATTTATTGGTTCTTTATTTTGGGAGCTTGCTGAAGCCATCATGGACTGCTTCTGTATTTGATTGGATATTGACTATTGTCTCCGAGCCATCAATAAGTTATAATTTTATTTTACATTTGTTTAGTGTGCCCTAGCTTCATGTTTTGTTTTGGTATGCCCGAATAGGCTGCTTGTGAGCGCTGGTTTGATTACTGGTGTCTTTGAAGCTCTAATGTCCTGTCAGCAGGTAGTTAGGTCTGTAACTAAGTATGTGTGCCCAGGATACCATTAAATTTTCCTGTATGGATTTAGCTCAGGTGTCCAGGCAGTCAGTCACCAAGTGTGTAGTGCAGGCTCTCACCTACAGTCTTAGAGAGGCATGGGTGATTGGTGTAGGCACAGGTATCTGGCTGCAGTAGGGGGTCACACACTAAACAAGGCAGGGGGCTAACAGCTGCCCCTGAGTGTCTGAATCGAAAGCGTATCCCTGTTCCCTAGAGTGAGTAGGTAGGTGAGTTTTGCAGCCGGACTATGAGCACCCTATTCTGTTGGCTGTAGGGACTGGGGAGCACCACTTATTCTTGGATCCCTGTAGCAGGTGGCTTGGTGGTGTCGGTGGAGCCACCAGTCCTCAAGCACCTGATGCGGACAGGTAAGGCGCCTGCTTAAAGGGCAGAGTGTCAAGCATCACAAATCTGCCACCTCACAGTTGAAACAGTTGAAGTTAGACTTCAGGTGTTTACCCTGTTTTACTGTGATAGTGAGGGCTTATGCTGTTGAGATGGGTCCACACAAGTCTATACAGGAGTGGAAGGCACTCAGAGTCTGCGGACCCCTTATGCTTGTGTCTAGGCAAAGGAGCTGTGCCAACCCTGAGTTCCTGGCCTAGGGGAGCCGGTAGCTTATTTTCTCCCTGTTTGTTAATTTGTTCCTCCTCCAAGGCCAGGAGAATGGGTCAGGGCACCTTATGGGCTCTGCTTCCGGCCCAGGGGACTCATAGGTCGCTGAAGCCAGCTGGACCCGGTTCATAGCGGGGAGGGAGGAGGTAAATGAGAGAGAGGTGTTTCCCAAACAGGTTTTTTTTTTTTTTTTCTTTTTAAATCCCTGTGAAAGGCCACACGCATGTACTTATCTTTAGCCACTTGGGTGCTGCTTTTCACTGGTTCGGAGTGTCCAAGCAGAATCTCTGCTGCCGCATCTCTCTCGATGTGGAAAGTGCCTCCCGAGCGAGCGTGTGGAGCTGTATGCCTGCCTTACTGCACACCCTGAGCCCGTCCCGGCTGAAGGACTGCGGCTCCCGCCGGGTCAGGTCAGGCAACTCCTTGCTGTTTCCAAACCATCTCTCTACCCCCACCACTCAGTCCAGTTCCTCAACTTTGCCTTGTTCAGGGCTCCTAGATATTCATATACAATCAAATCACTTGTGTTTTCAGGTCTTTGTTTTAAGAGGAACATAGGAAGCCATCTGACTACTCTGCCATCTTGGCCTCGCCTTGAAGTTGATTCTTATAAATACTTGAAAAAAAAGTGTTCTTCTGTGAACCTGGCCTGATTTTTTTTCTATATGAATCCCAGTCTGTGTTGGAAGCCTGATAGCTACATTTGTTCAAAGGTGTCTTGTCAGCCCTTTACACAAATCCCCAGGGTCCTTGTCACATGACTGGGGAGGGAGAAGTCCCCCCAGGCAAGACTGCCGTGACAGGCCCCGAACCTCAGACTACTGAGCCACAAGGGGTTACAAGAACTCTTCCTTTACCTGAGACTCCAGGGTGGGAGCACATTGGAGAGGCTCTCAGTGTTCGTACTATCAAATGAGTTAAGCTCAGTTGGAGCTTGTTGTAGTTCAGCTGAGGAGCCAGAAATGCACCCAAAGGAACGGAGGAAGAATGAAATGTTCATCAGAAATCTGAACATGTTTATGTCTGACCAAATGATTGCAAGTGGATTCTTAGGATTAAATAGACAAAGAGAAAGTTTGCAAGAGGAGTATCTTTTAGAAAGCGAGTTTTAATGATTAACAAATGATTTAATATTGAGACATGAAGTACTGACACGATCCTAATGAGAAGTAGAGAGCCTGAGTATCCATAATGGGAAGCAGGGGACTCGTCAGAACACCCCTACAAAGCATTCAGCTCAGCTGGTAGCCAGTGCACTTCCTGAAGCACTGGTGAGGCAGTAATTCCCATGGTAGCAGAACTATTTTTAATGATGGAAAAGGCTGGGAAGCCACCTATTTATGCTGTAAGGCAAACGTGGTTCAGGCTTCCAAGCCTGAGGTCAAAAAACAGTAAAACTGCACAACCTCCCATTGAGTGTGTGTGCACTGACGTATGCCAACGCACTGAACTGAGAGCAGGTTTCTGGAGAGGCTGTGAGAGGGATCCTTCAGAAGAGGGCCTGTTTCCCAGTGGGGCCACCTCCCCTGGCTGGACAGGAGGGATTCTTGGATGCTTACATTAATATTAATTAATGCAGGTCTTCTATTTTTTTTAAGTGCACTTTGAAATTGTTTTATTTTTATAATTCATTTTATTTTTGTTGTTATTGAAAATATACACAGCAAAACATATACCAACTCAACAATTTCTGCATGAAGAATTGAATGACATTGATCATATTCTTTGAGTTGAACAACCATTCTCACCCTCCTTTTCCAAGTTGTTCCTCCTCCATTAACATTACCTAACCTTTCGAGTTGCAGTTATCAGTTTGATCCCACATTACATAGTTCTTTAAAAGAGCACAATGCTCAAGGCAGACATTCTTTACTAATTAAGATAACCTGTTGTTTAGTTTAAAGAAGACTTCAGGGAATATTTTTGGTTTAAGGTTTAAAGAGTATCTCAGGGTGATAGTTTCAGGGGTTCATCCAGCCTCCATGGCTCCAGAAAGTCTGGAGTCCAAGAGAATTTGAAATTCTATTCTACATTCCCCCCACTGTCCCCTTTTGATCAGGATTCTTGTCTGGAATCTTTGATCACAATGTTCAGTAATGGTAACCAGACACCATCCAGGTCTTCTGGTCTCATGGCAAAGGAGGCAATTGTTCATGGGGGCAGTTAGCCACACATTCCTTTTCCTCCTCCTATTCCTGACTCTCCTTCTTCCTCTGTTGTTCCAGGTGAATAGACACCAATTGTACCTTGGATGGCCAATGCAGGCCTTCTATTAAAGGCAAATGGAAGTGGTTTTCCATTGGGATTACTAATATAACATTTCTTTTGTACTTATATTAAAAAGTGAGGTGATCTAAAGAATTATATTAAGTCAATAATAATTTAGGCTATGTGTGGATATATGGCAAACTGGTATACCAACAGTTGAAGCTGGGGAAGTAGAAACAAAATAGCTTTATCACCATTTCTGCTCAGTTTAAAAAAAAACAGTTGCCATCGAGTCAACTCCAACTCATGGCAACCTTATATGTGTCAGAGTAGAACTGCTCCTTAGGGTTTTCAGTGGTTGATCTTTCAGAAGTGGATCACTAGACCTTTTTCTCAAGGTGCTTCTGGGTGGATTCTAACCTCTGACCTTTTGGTTAGCAGCCAAGTGTGGAACTGTTTGCACCACCCAGGGACTCCTGTTCGGTTAGGCAAGGATAAAAATAGAAGGGATAAATCTTGAAAGAGACAAAAATATACCTACAGTGCCCGCTTCCTCTAGAGTGACAGTGGAATTGTGTAAACGGGATGCAATAATCTCTGCCCAGATTGAATTTGAGAAGCATGCTGCTCACCCAGCCCCAGCCTCGCTTCCCAGGCCTCACGCCTCCCTGCCCAGCTGCCCCTCTTCCTTACTCAGCCAAGACCATCAGCCTTGTATGGGCCAACCTGTCCTCCCCTTTGGCCCACTGCCTCACCTGAGCTCACTGCAGTCTGCTGCTTCGACTCGCCTTAGCATTACTAGGCACAGTTGGGGGCTGGTGGTCTTTGGCTTCCTGGAGACTTCGTGCTATCACCCCCACTCAGCAGTGCCATTGACTGGTTGTGCCTTTTACAATTGGCTTTGTGCATGACACAGCTGGCATGAGTATTTCAATCCATTCCTTGTAATGGTGGGGTGAAAGACATGGCCCCAGTAAAGGAATTGGTTTTGTCAATCTAGAGGGAGAAGTGGGAGCACCGGTGGCAACATTCCGGGGGTGCTGATCCCAGCGGGAGTCGGGTGAGTGTAGGGAAGAATGTGAGAGGGCTTGAGCCTATGTCCTACTTCTGATGTGGCCTGTGGCTGCTATCCCCTGGCCCTCTCATGATGCCCTCACCCCCACCTGTACGTGCAGTCTTCCATCCCAGGGCTGTTCTTCCAGTACATCTGGGACATGATGCACTACCAGGGAGCATTGCAGAACTCACCCCTGAGCCGTCGGTGTGACATCTGGTTCTGGAAATAACAGTTCTGATGCCACCGGGGGTTATTAACCAGCACTTGGACGAGTGGTTGGTTCAGAAGCTGCTAGGGGCCTTCGAGGGTAGGCTTATTATGCTTTCACATGGGGTGGGTCTGGCCAGGCCTCTCTTCTTTCATGCGCTCACTCAGTAAACTTCCATTGAAACTGTCCTGAACCTAGCATTGTGCTGGGACAGGGCAGGGGCACACACACTGGCCCCTGCCCTTGAGAAGCTCAGCGTGCACACGTGTGTGTATAGGGGAGCACAGCAGAGGGACCCCAGGTGTCAGGTCAGGAAGGAGGGGCATCATTCTGAACAGTTCTCCGCTGTAGTGTTGGCTGTTTGCCGTCCAACACTTTCTCCTAATTAGAGAGGACAGATAGGTTGGGCTCTGGTAGTTAGAATTTCGGGTGGATGGGAGGCTGCTTCATCTGAAAAGCACTTTAGATATAAAGCAGTGTGGAAATCAGAGTTTCACTTCTAGGATAAGGTGCCCTTCTTGAGACTGTGCTAACCCACGATGCCTTGTCCTTCTCTCTGCAGTAATCCAGTCCCTCATAGCACTGGTGAACGACCCCCAGCCCGAGCACCCACTCCGGGCTGACCTAGCTGAAGAGTACTCTAAGGACCGTAAAAAATTCTGTAAGAATGCTGAAGAGTTTACAAAGAAATATGGGGAAAAGCGACCTGTGGACTAAAATATGCCGTGATTGATTCCAGCAAGTGTGATCAGAGACCTGAGCAGTGCATTCAGATCCCCCGCAAAGCAGGACTCTGTGGAGAATTGACGCGTGCCACCGCCTGGCGTCCGCTTGTGGCAATTACTAACTTTCTACAGTTTTCTTAATCAAAAGTGGTTTAGGTAACCTGTAAAGAAAGGATTAAAAATTTAAGATGTTCTAGTTCTGCTTTCTTTGTTTTAAAAATCAGTGCTTCAATCTATTTCAAAAGAATGGTGTTTCTTTTCTCATCCAAATTTATCCAACAATCTTCTACTTTAATTCAGTAGCCCATAAGGTTTAAAAAAACGGGCGGGGGAAAAGGTCATGGTTCACCTTCCTGCAGCCCTTGCAACTCCCACTTTCTTGCATTCAGTTTATTTTTCACCTGTTCACTTCCCCAGACCCACGTCCTGTCTCCTCCGCAAAGGAGAAGAGACGCTGCTGGCATTTCTGTTGGCTTTTCTTCCGTGTTGCACTGCCTGGTATGGAAGTTAGTTCCAATTCTCCTGATTCCAGTGTATAGCATCCTTTAAAAAAATTTTAAAAACAAGCAAACAGACACACTTCTTTTTAAAAAAAAAATTTGTAAAAGGGAAGCCCAGCTCTTGTGTAAAAACCTGGCTAATGTAACGATAGTGTTGATTAAATGGGCAAACCCTGCTGTCTGTGTGGTAATTGAACCCCAGCCTGGCACCAGCCTGCTGGGGGAAGCCCACAGTAGCAGGTCTTTGGTGCCCGAGGGATGGGCCTGCCAGCCGGAAGACACTGTTCACGTGTATGAGGAATTTCTCACCAGAAAGGCTTCTCAGGCCGAAGGTTGGCCTTCCTCACTGCAGCCCTTTGGGAAGACCAGCTGGTCATTGCAAACGAAGCTAAAGCCAAAATATCTACGTGAAATCCCAAGCGCACCTGTCACCGAGCTCTGTCAGAATGTGCCATGGAGCTTGCGCTCCACCTCCTCTGAGCAACGGCCCCACCACAGCCTCCCTCAACACAGCTTGGTCCTTTGCGGGCTTGGAACTGGCGGGACTTGGCTTTAGACGGCACTGGTCTGGGGTCAACGTTGCGCCTGCTGACCCCTTAGGAGCCGGCCAGCCCAGGAACAAGATGGCCTTCCTTCTCCGTTTGGACTCACGGCCTTTGCGGAAATCCACCTCCACTTGAAGCTCACTCAATAATATCCTTTCAATGTGTTTTATATTGTTTTGACTGCCTTTTTTTGTAGAAATAAAAATTGACCTTAGAATTTATCATCAGATGAACTTGTAAAGATTTGAATGTTCATGTCTTTTGAAAGCAAGTGGGACTGCCCCTGAAAGAAAGAGTAGAAAATGCTCGTCACACTGACACCCAGAAGAAGCCGGTGGTCCCGATGCTTGGTGTCACCCACTCTGCATTGGCCACCGGCTGCTGCCCTTCTTGGCCATTTAGGGGACCAGGTCCTGTGGAGAAGATGGTGTAAAGAAGCTTTGCCTTTTGTTTTAATTTTAGTTCTATAACTTGAGATGGTCCCAGGGCTTACCAGCTCGGTGTTCCCTGTGCAGAGGTGAGCAGTGATGGTAAGTTTGGCAGAATATGCCATTTAGTTGTTCGGGCACACGCCTCCATGGGGTGTATATGAACCCAGCTTCTGAAGTCCTAGGTGTACGAGGGGCAGGTTTCTGGAGACTCCTGTGTGTCTAGCGACGGCAGGAGCACCAGGTCAGCATTTCCACACCTGTCTCTTCATTAGTAGAAAGGTGAAAATGGACTTGATTGCACTCACACTCAGATTTGTAATAAAATGCCAAATTCTGTCAAAGGCTATCCAAACAAGCTACTGTTTGTTCTCGTTGCTTCTCCGAATCCAGAAACCTTGCCATTTTTGGAAACAATCTCAGCGCTTCGTGTTTATGCTGTTGTAGCCCTGCCTGCCTATCACCACCTCACTTCTCTCTGCTCACCACGGAGGAGATCTCTGTGCCCGCAGCCTCTCAGGGACTCAGCCCTGGCATTCACACCCTGTGGTTTGCCGCAGCAGCAGAGGCCTGGCTGGCTGATGGCAGGTCAGTGGGTGGCCCCTCCCGGGGCCTGGGCTGCCTGCCTGTCCATCTGCACATTGGCCAAGTCATGGCCGAGCGCTTGGGGCAGGCTGGAGCAAGGCCGGGCAATCCTGGCTGCTCCAAAACCAAAGCCCTGGCCCTCTGGAGAGGGGAGAGCTGTCAGCAGCCCCTGCCGCCGGCCCACTCAGGAGTTACAGTTCCTCCAAGTGCACTGGGTCTCACCCTATCCCCCGCCCCCTCCAGTGGTGGAGAATAGGCTGAAATGCTGCGATCCCATTCTGCTGCCCTTAATAAAAATGCTCTCAGACACCGGCTTGGCCCTGTGGGTTTTCTTCCTCACTAGGGGTGGGAACACCAGGGACCTGTGCCCTGGGGCTCTGGGAAGGGAGCTGTGGCCCAGGGCCTGGAGCCTGTGCTCTCAGGCAGCTTCTGCCTGCCCCTCTTCCCATCCCAGCCTCTTCTGTCGGGGCCTGCAGAGGGACCTGGTGGGTGTCTGTGGATGGGGACAGCTACTTCCACCTGTAGGTATGTACTTCAGACCTTTCAGCCCCAAGAGACTGACATGATCCACATTGAGCAGGGGAGGAACTTGGGTTCCAGAAGGGTGGCTGTTTGATCAAGGTCATGGATCTAAGGAGGGTATGCTTGAGGTCAAGGTCTAGGCCAGCACCCTGCCTGTGTCTCCCAGTGGCCGTCTTCTAATGCATTGCAGCCACAGCACAGACTCGGGCAGGGCCCAGCTGTGCACGTGACTTATTCTTTGGCCTGGAATTCAACGCCAGCAGAAACGCAGCCTACACTCAGAGCCAAGGCTGCAGGTCTGGGGAGAGCCTTCCAGAATGTCATTTTATGAGGTAGCAAAGAGAAGAGGCCTCGCCTTTGATCACCAGTGGGTGGCTTGCCCCAGGTCTGGCACTTGATCCTCTGTGGATCTCAAGAAAACCCTGTGGGCACTGTTATCCTTGTCCTTACAGAGGAAGAAACAGGCTCAGAGTAACTTTGCCAAGGCAGCACAGATCCTTCCATTAGGGCTCTTTGAGCCCAGATGCAGCCACAGGCCCCACCTCCCCAAAACAAGAGGCCTCAAGACCCTCTCTCAACTTCCTGTTTGTGGGAGCCACCATTTTCATACTTCTGTTAATTGTTCAGCATCTGGAAATACGTGTCTACTTCATCCCTCGTTCCTGTGCCTGCTGCAGCCTGGCTGGGGCCCCAGCACTTCCTTATTGCATAATCCACAGGCGGGCGGCCCTTCAGCCCACCCTGTTCCTGCTGTGTCCATCTGGCAGTGCTTCCATGCCACACCCTGCAGGGCAGCCTTCAGACTCAGTCCAGAGGGAAGCCAGCCTGGTCTGTTCTTCCCACCCCATGCTGGGGCTGGCTCTTCATATCCCTGCTTCGTGCACACACTGTGGGAGAAATGGCTCCAATCTAAGAAGCAGAGCTGTAGCTGCACCACTCCGAATGCAGTGCCTAGCCCAGGTGGGACTTGTTCTGTGGCCATGTCCCAGGTGACTGGAAGGTTGCCTCACAGCCATCAAGGCTGCTGGGGAACCATGCTGGCTTCAGAGAGGATCAGAGTGGAAAGAGCTATCTTGGGGAGCCTTGAGCCTGACCCCAATACCCTACAGAGGCCACGGCAACAGTGCGTTCCCCAACCTGTCCTGGCCCCCCACTGTGCTATGCTTCCCTTTTTCCTCCGGTGCAGCCAGATCACGGCCATTGTGCCTATATGTGTCCGTGTGAGCTCCTTAGTAGGCCGGGCTGTGTCCAGGCACCTGGCCTTGGCCTGGTGCAGAGCAAACCCTCCATCACGAGTAATGAATGGATGACGACAGTAACTGACTTGCCACCTCCCCTTGCCACTGTCCCCAGTGGGCACCAGTGATCACCCACACAATGGGTCCTTACTGCCCTTTCTACCCTGGTGAGCCAGGCCTCAGTTGCTGGATTCTTCTATCTCTGGCCATGCCCCCTTTTCTCTCAGTCTTTTAAATACTCGTGGCCCCGAGGGCTGGTTTGGGCCCTCATGTCAGCTCACCTCTCCCTCCCTGGGTGAGTGTAACCACCCCCACAGCTTCATTTGGCATCTGCAGACCCCAAATCCCTCGCCTGCCCACCCACGCCTCTCCCGAGCCCAAGTTCCACACAGCTAGCTGCTTCCTCCCTCAGAATGCCTCCACAGGAGAGCCCCTGAGGGAAGTGCCTTTGCCAACAAGCTGCCTCCTGGCCAATCCTCATCCCAGCTCCACCAGTGGCCCACAAGAGTGTGGCCAGGCCACAGTGGGCTGAGGTGAGGAGATGCGGCCTAGGCAGCAGGCGGGACCAATCTCACAGTGGTTCCAATTCCCAGCAGTCTGGGCTCCTGGGGGGAAGAACAGAGGGAAGGGACTGTGGTTGGGAAAGTCCAGGTCAAGGAAAGGTTAAGATGGAAGATGGGCCAGGAAAGGGGGCTGGAGCCACGGTCAAGGGGAGGGGCAGAGGCAGAAAGGAGCTCCCACCCTACCCCTTCATGAAGTCACATTCTGAGAGGCTACCTGGCCAGCAGTACCTCTTCTGTTACGTGCACTTGATACGTGCCTGGCCCAGACTAGGGCCCAATGCATGTCAAAGAGATGAAACTTGCTATGCCATCTCCACCTCTAAGTTGCTAAAATGGGGACAATGGTGCCTGCCTCACAGTTTATAAACCTGACATTGAGACAAGGTGACAGGACCGTGTGGTGTCCCATCTGCCTTTCTGTCCTCTGCAGTGGGACAGAAGGACTCTGTGCTCCAGAAAACTCTCCTTGACCATCTGCTATCTCAGGACCTTTGGTCCAGAGCCAGACTGGGACCGCAGGCAACCCACACATCACCAGGACCAACTGGGAATCTCAGGGTCCCATGTCCACAGAAGACTGCCCCCTCCTGGGAAATTTTAATGCATTCCTATGAGCAAAGTTTCCTCGGTGGTGCAAATGGTTTCTGCTCGACTGTTAACCTAAAGGTTGGCGTTTCAAATCCACCCAGCAGCACCACAGAAAAAAGACCTGATGATCTACTTCCATTAAGAAGTACATTACAGCCAAGAAAACTCTATGGGTTTCTACTCTGTAACACACGGGGTCACCATGAGTCAGAATTGACTCCACTGCAACTAACAACAGTGAGCTTAAATGACCCCTTAAGATCTATCTTCTGGGACACAGAGGGCTGCTTACTTAGGTGACTTGTCTTTAATAAAAATTTGAGATATATAATATGCCTCCCAAAAAGCAGCCTGGTGAGATAATTGTTTCCCATCCCACCCCATGCCACCCCATCCCCCCACGCAGAAAGGAGAAAAACCTAAGCATGAACAAAAGCACGACATGGCGGGCTGAGGGGGGTGTGTTTTGCTATCTTCTCTGAGATACTGACCCGGGAGTTGGCTCTGTGTCTGTTCTTGTTTCAGTGAAGGTTTCCTGGCACAGTTTTAAAACTCCCCCAATTTGGTGGTGAAGTGATTAAGAGCTCAGGCTGCTAACCAAAAGTTCAGCAGTTCGAATCCACCAGCTGCTCCTTGGAAACCCTATGGGACAATTCTATCCTGTCCTATAGGGTAGCTATGAGTTGGAATCGACTCCAAGGCACACAACAACAATTTACAAGACACATGGTATTTTATTAAAGCAGTGACCTTGAACCACGGCCACTAGACAATGAAGACGTTTACCACCCAAAGGGGCACCAAACTCTCTGCAGGCCAGACCCAGATGTTACAGGCTGGCCCCAAGTGCAGCCGGAAGGGGCCACAGAAGCTCTGGCCAGCATGACAGGGCAGCGCCAAGCCAGGGAGCAGGTTTCAGATCGCCGCTCTAGGCCCTGGTTCTGGGCTGCACCAGTACTCCACTCTGACCTGCTTCCTCCGCGCTAAGGGGTATTAGTGCTTGCTTGGCTTTCCTTCGGAGTCAGGGTGAGGAAGGTTGCAAAGAGGGCTCCAGAGTGGCCTCGCCGAGGGCCCCCTCCCCGAGCCTCTTGGAGTCCAGGTCGTCTAAGGCGCAGAGCTGTACGCCATCCTGGGCAAGCCGGGCCCGCAACGTGGGTGCAGTGAGGACACGCAGCTCGTGCAGCCGCTCCCAGGAGCAGGAGAAGGCGTCTGGGCCCTCGCCACAGCCCCCGGCTGGCGGCACGCTGGGGTACCCGGGATGTGCCATCAGCTCCACTGTCAGGGCGTGGCCCGCTGGGACACTTTCCAGGGCCCGAGCCAGCGCCCCCGACACGCGATGCGCAGACATGTGGCGGCCGCACGTGCTCAGGCCCACGAAGGCATCGGTCCACCTGCGGTTGCGGGGGGCGGGGGTGGCGGTGTCAGCTGAGGGGCCAGCTGGAGCGCAATGGGTGGGGCTAGGTCGGGACACGGGAAGGGGGCCTTACCGCAGCCCGTGGCGGGAGAAGGAGTCCACGGCGGCCCGGGCGTCACGTCCCACTGCGCAGGCGAACGCACGCGCTGGGGCCTCGAGCCACGCGCAGCCGCCAACACCGCGCTCCAGTGGTAGCCGCGTGAAGCGCACCCCATAGGCCTGCAGCGCTTCGGCGAACACCTGGCACACGCCTGCGGGCAAAGAGGAGTCAAGCCCGGCGACTCTTCTGGGAGGAGCACACCTCCCGCCTGGGAGCAGCCGCCCCCTTCCAGGACTATGTTCCCCTCCCCTGGGAGCACCCCTGCACACCTGGGGGCACCTCCCACCTAGGAGTATCCCACACCTGGGAGCACGTGCACGTGCTGGTGCCCGTCCACGTGCGTGGGGTCCCTGCCCAGCAACTCCCGGAAGCGGCTCAGCTGGGCCTCCAGCTCTTCCCGCACCTGGAGTGGAAGAATCGTAAATCCACTGAGTTTCTGGAAGGAACTCCCGGGGAGGTCCTCTCTATGTGCCTGCTCCAGTGTATGAATGACAGAACGACCAGCGCCCGCTCCTGCCCCTAACAGCTTTACGGGGCCCAGGGGGCCTGGCCTTGAGTCACCACGAGCATCCCTGCAGCCGTGTCTCCGCACCTGAGGCAAGGCCACGTCTCCTGCCGCCACCGCTTCCCGGAATCCCATCTTGCCGAGGAAGAAGCCTTCGGGGCCGAGCAGCGACGAGGCTCCGTGGCAGGCCGGGCCCACGGGGCGGCCCTCAGACAGATTGGCGTGGAGGCCCGTGGGGATACTGTGCCTGCGAGTGGACCGGAGAGGGAGCTGAGGCGGCTGCCGGCCGGGGCTCCCCGGGGTCTCGCCTCGCCCCGCCTGGGCGCTGTAGGGGCCGCCCCTCACCTGCGGGCCAGTTCTGCCGCGCTCTCCGCGGCCGCGCCGTTCACCAGCAGGGACACGCTAGTCACTGCCCCCACCAGGAAGGCCTCCACGATGCCTTCATCGCGCCGCGGGCAGTAACCAAAGTCGTCCGCTGTGACCACCAGCCGCACTCGCGGCCGGGCCATAGCAGTCTTTGAGGGCGGCTCCCGAGCGGCGGGAAGAGGGCGGGACGGTGCAGGCCCCGCCCCCGGACGCGGACCGAGGCCCCGCCCCCAACGTGCGCTCGCCGCGGACGCCTTCTTCCTTTGTTCTTGCCACCTGCGGGTACCAGAGCGCCCGGCAGCCGCTTGCTGGCTTGCTTCGTCCCCACTTATTGCAATGCGGAGATTTCCCTGGCTGCAGAAGTGATGTTTAATTTGAAAATACAAGAAAACTAAAGAAAAACATCCCGGAAATCACCACTGTTAACTTGTAGTGTCCTTCCAGTACTTTCTGTAAGCAAATAAACACACCCAAATTCCTCTTCTCCCCACCCAAAGGTTTTTTGTGTAGCTTCTGGAAGATAATGATGATCACAGAGATGCTATCTCGTTCTTGTAAGGTTTCATTCCTTTGATAGTGGCTATGATTAGCCATTTATATTCTTTTTCAAATTGCCTGTTTGTCTTTTGCTGGTTTTTCTAAGAGGAGACTTTTTCTTATTTGTAAAAGCTCTAAACAATAAGGAAACGAACATTTTATGTAAAACGTGCAGTTTTGTTCAGTTTAACATTTGCTTTTTGGTGTGATTTTGGGAATAAAAAGCTGAAGGAAAAGAAAGCATCAACTTGTTTCCGTCTCTTGAACCCCGGGCCACAACTTTTATGTTCATAATCTCATTTTTCCTCAGTGATCCAGAAAAGTTTTCTTTACTGCCATGGTTGATAGCCAGAGTTTTACCCGTAATGTGGCTGTCTTGTTTTCCATATGTAAAGTGTGGTATTTGTGTCCAGACTATGAAATTGGTAGTGTCACTCCTGTTTTACAGTTGAGGAAACGGAGGCCTAGAGATGGGAAGTGTGTTGCCTGAGGTGATCCTGCTGGGAGTGGTGGAACTAGGACTGGCCTGGGGAGCTCTGGGCTTGCACTGGGCACCCTAAGTGAGACATATGAGGAGAATACTAAATACTACCCACCTCGTGGGGTATTGGGATTAGACCCTCATAGAGCCATTCACCATGGTCTTGGCACAAGGACTGTTACGTTCAAGCAGAGTGATGATTAAATTTGGGACATCAACCACCACCACTCTCCACTGGGGAGCTCATCCAGCCCAAAAATGCTGGGGATCCGAAGACTAGAAGAAGGAAACTGACATTTATTGAGCAACTACTGGCTCAGGAGGAGCCCCTGGGTGGTGCAAATAGTCAATGGCCTGGTAGGCTAAGCAAAAGGTCAGTGGCTTAAGTCCATCCAGTGGCACCTCGTAAGAAAGGCCTGGTGAGCTACTTCCAAAAAATCAGCCACTGAAAACCCTATGGAGTACAGTTCTGACATACACGGGGTGGCGGTGAGTTGGAATTGACTTCACAGAAACTGGTTGTTGTTATTTTGTTTTTCCAACAGGGTCAGGCACTAGAAGTATTAGGGATGAGTGCCTCCTTCTGACCCCTAAGGTGCGCCATTTGGTGAAAAAGTAACAACGCTGTGTCCAACGCTTTGGGGTGAATTCTGTTGGGGATAGGGAGCCTTCTGGGAAGGCTTCTCAGGAGGTGACATGCTAAGGAGTTTACCAGACAGAGGGGTAAAGAGGGTAAAGAGGTCCTATTGGGGTGCAGGTGTGTTGTATAAAGGTTTAATGTAATCACCACACTCCCACGTGGAAGGAAGTTCAACCCCATTCACAGATGAATAACTGATACTCAGAGAAGTTGAGTCACACCCGCCGGCGGGAACAGTAGAGCCAGGAATTGAAGCCAGGTCTGTGTGACTTACAGCCCGGACTCTTTGCTGTGCGCCAGGCAGACTCCTAGACAGACCCTCGGGGCCTCCACTCTGGGTGTGGGGAGGAGGCCCTAGACAAGAAGAGGTCAGAGAGCAGGAGGGTCAGGGAAGCATAACCAGTAGGGAGGAGCTGAGGAAGGTGCTTGTCACCCGGAGGAGGTCGCAGCTTTGACCCTTCGCTTCCAGCCTGGGGACACACCTCCCACCCGCCCCCGGCCCAGCCTGGCACAGTCCAGGTGAGCGGCAACCCTCCGCCCAGACTCCCGCCCGAATGTGGGCGGGGCTGGGTGATGCGGGGGAGGAGCCAAGACGGCCCCGCCCCACCATTGTGCGGAGGGCCTAGCTGTTCTAAGTGAGCCAATCCGGAAGCAGCATGCAAGTGAGCAAAGAGCGGTGGCCCGGCGGTCCCAGCACAATGTGTCCGCGCTCCAGCGGGTGCGGACCGCGCGGGCCCGAGCGGAGCGACGCGTGCGCTCTGGTGAGCGGGTCCGCCTCGGGTCTGGAAGGAGGGAGGGCCAGGCAAACCAGACCCAGAGATATTCGGACAGGACGTGGATGTATTCGGGGACTCCAGCCCCACGACACCGCACACGGGCGGCCCGCAAATGTCTGGGGGTCCCTGGCACAGCTACAGCCGGTCGCGTGAAAGCCGAGCTATGCCGGGAGTGAGGGACCCGCGCGGGCCTCGGGGCCACTGTCACACTGGCGGGCGGACGGACAGAAAGAGGGTTGGACCGATGGAGGCCTGGGCAAACCCTCACACTGCCATCTTCCCTCCTGGTGCAGAGAGGAGGCCGCGGCTGGGCGGCGCAACCTGAGCCAGGGGAGGCGGGGGTCGGCCCGGCCTCCAGCACCATGGCCAGATGCCGCCACCACTCCGGGTACTTGGCGGACGACGAGGCAGGTCACACCACTTACATGGCACGGGTAAGTGGGTCTGCCAGAGCGCCGGCCCCGGGCCTCCGACGTGTTCCCCACTGACCTGGGCTCCTTAACTGGCAGCTGCACCCCAGACCACAGCGCCCCTTCTCATTCCTATTGACCTCCTCCTTTGGTCTCTAGTCGTCTCCTTTTGCCTTAACCACTCCTCTGAGCCCCAGTTGGCCCCTGATAACCCTGCATCTCACTCCCCATGTCCTCTGACCTCCGGCGGTCTGGGAGGGGCTAGTTGGACTGGAACCCCGGATGAGGAGCGCCTCTTCCGCTTAGGGCAAGGGCCCCATTTGGAGAAGCAGCCAGAGACCAGGACTGCAGGGGCCAGGGCCTCAGGTGGCAGGAGCAGCCTGGCAGTTGAGACTAGGCTGGCCCGACCCACAGTGCAGATAAGAAACTCCAGGAGATTCAGAGAATTTCATGAATGCTCCTTCATATGGTGTGGGAGAAACAACACCAGAGAAGAAGCCGGCTTCCAACATGTGAAGTGTAGGTGTCAGGGAGGCTCAGGGTGACCTTAATTAAGTCCCCACTTCGCAGGAGAGGAAATTGGACTCAAGAAGGGCCAACTTGCCTAGGGTCACATAGCCTAAAGGTGGCAGAGCCAGGGTCCCACCCCAGGTCTATCTGACTCCAAAGTGCAGTTCCTCCCACTGCCTATTCCCCACCTATAAACTACGGCCTGAGGAGGGTCCCATGCAGCCCTCCCCCTGTGGGGCATCCCTGCCCACCTGACACACACCCATCTATTCAGGTGCAGCCACCCAGGAAGCCACTGTTCCCGGAAATGGGGCCAACATCCAAGCTGGGTCACGAGCCACACCTGCCATCACTGTACCGTCCTTCAGGCAGCTCAGTGCTCCGTGGCCACCACCGAAGCACATGGAACACTAAGCCCTTTGGCAGCTTCCTGGACTTCCTGGTCGAGAGCCAGGTGCTGGACAGCCTGCAGACAGTGGTGGAGGAGGCAACGGAGCGCATGGCAGCCATGAGGACAAAAGCCGGGAACCCCCTGGTGGAAGTGCAGGACCCCATGGAAGCACCTAGCAGCAGGCGGCGGGCACGGGCCCAGCCCAGCCTCAGCACTGTGCACCGGCACCGGACACAGCCCAGCCTCTGCACCGGGCACCTCAACAACTACCCGTCCTGCTCCAGCTCTGCGTCTGACACCCAAAGCAGCCTCTCAGCCGGCGGGCTGGGCTCACACAGCCGTGACAGTGACCTGGGTGCCCGTGGCGTAGGCCCCCTGCCCCCCATGAGGGACAGACTGCTGCTGGAGAGGAACCTCAAGCGGCTGTTGCGGCTGGAGAACAAAGGGGTGAGGTCTGGGGCCACAGCCAGGGCAGGTGGGATGGAGCCCAGGGCCCTGGCTGGGCTGGTGGGACTGCCCTCAGTGCCTCTCAGAGTACCCCTCTCTCTGCAGAAAGGCCAGAGTAAGCCCTCCTCCCAGAGGGACTCCCTGCCGTGGGACTCAATGGGCAGCCAGGCCAGCAGCCAGTGGACGCCTGAGCAGCCCCTGTCCTGGTTCTCAGGGCTGCTGGGCTCAGGCTCGGGCACACCCACGGTGTCAGAGCTGGGGCCCGCTGAGCGGGAGCTCATCTTCCTCAAGCGGGAGTTTAACAAGCAGATGAAGTCGCTGCTGAGCCAGCCGGCCTACTTCGACCTGCCACACTACTGCTCTGCCCGCGAGCCTTATCACACGCTGGACTTCTTAGCCAAGCACCACCTCTTTCCTGCCCTGCAGCACGTTGTCCATCAGGCAGTGGACAAGCTCAGCAGTGCCCGCTGCCATGATGGCTGTCCCCTCTTCTCGACGGATTACAAACCCACCCCAGACCCAGAGCCACCACTCAGCTCTGAGCTGCTGCCAGGCTCCATGCCACCCTCGCCTGAGGAGAATCCCAATGACAGAGAGGAGGAGCCCTACGAGTCGCTCCCCACCACAGCCTCCAGCCCCAAGATGGGTTCCAGAAACAGCGTCAAGGGCAGAGGACGGGGAAAAGTAAAGGAAGGGGGCTCTCCCATGTCTGGCACCCAGGTGGCCACCAAATTCAGGCTCAAGGTGACCCCCACAGAGGAGTTCAAGGTCCCTGGCACCTCATCCCCCGGGCATGAGGTGCCTGACCTGGAGCTCAGAGAGCAGAACCCACCCCTGCCCACCTCTGGGACCCCAAGCCCGAGCCAGAGAGCCCAGCCCTGGCGGGGCCTGCACCTCACTCTGCCCACCCCCGGGATCATGGTGGACATGCCCTCAAGCCATGCCTGGCTCTCCTCCCTGGAGCCTCCTCCGCTGGCCTCTCCCTGCCATCTCTTCTCCACACTCTCCCCACGACCCTCCACAATAGGAAACTTCTCCCCATCTTCCACCTCACTGTGTCCAGAGGTAACCTCCTTGAGGAGGGGTCTGGAGGCCTGGGGGACGGCTCTGCAGAGGGAGGGCTCCTTCACCCACCACTCCTAGCAGCCTCTGTCACCCAGTTGGGTGCCTAGGTGACGGTCCCTGCCCTGTACTGTGGAAACCTCCTGGGCATGGGACAAGGAATTGGATAAGGGACCAGGAATCCTGGCTGAGCTACTGCCAGGATTGTCAAAGATGAATAAAGGCTATTTTTTATTCTGGGTTCTTTTTAAACATTTGTATGTGAATTTAGGAGGCACCCCACATGCACAGGGTCCTGTCCCTCATGGACAGCAGCTTTAGCCTAGAGTAGGGCCCTAGCACCCTCCAATCCAGCTGCCTGAGACAGGCCTCTCCAGCCTCCCTGCCCTGTGCAGGGGAGCTGCCTGGGAACAGTGTGTGGAAGAGGTAGGTGGCCTCCCTGTGGTGGGACCTTGGTACAGCCCTCCAGCCCTCCCTGCCACCCATCGAGGGCTGAGCAAGCTGCCCTTCTCTGCAGCCAGGCCTGGGCGTCAACTGCTGGGAGCCTAGGGAGCGTGGGTTGCCAGGGCACGTGCTTGGCTGATGCTGTGATTGTGGCCACTGGCCTTGATTGAGACTGACAGGTGGGACAGGTGTGACAGTGGTAAGCATGTAGGTTGGCAGATGTGCAGAACATGTACTCAGCTGCCAACTGTGACCAGCATAGTAGGTGTGTCAAGACTATACCATTAGCGTGACAAGTGGGGCATTTGTGCAGGTGACGATGGGACTGGCGTGCCTGCTGTGGAGGGAGTCTCAGGGCAGCTGGCAGGGTGGGGCCAGAGGCATGACATTCTCCTTTTCCTCTTTGGCTGCTGTGCAGAATCCCCATCTGAAGTTCACCAGGAAGAAGCTGCTGCCCTCCATTTCGTCTAAGTCCACCACGTCCCACTTCTCCAGCCCCTGGCAGGAGGAGCTCATCAGCTTCCTGGTGGAACAGGCCATCTCTTTGCTTCTCTGCAAGTACAAGTTTGAGAGGAACCTCAGCAAGCAGCTCGGTTTCATCTCCTTCCCCGTTACTGAGCTGCTCCTAGACCTCTTCCTGGGCTTCAAGAAGGTGAAGGGCTCCGGCATCCGCCTATCCTCGCAGATCGACTGGACCTGCCTGCTGCGGAGGCTGGAGGAAGCCCAGTGGGCCCACCAGCTCTCCCGCCACACCTCCCAGCGTGGCACCTCCCAGCGCACCACTGAATCACCCTCCACACTGCCCGAGCCCACCACCGCCACCGACCAGGACGAGGCCACTGAGCCCCACCTCTCCCCTGACATGGAGCCGCTCCATCCTCAGGAGCCCACTGCTGAGGGGGTTGGGGGGGAGGAAGAGGAGGAGGTGGAAGAGGAGGAGGAGGAGGAGGAGCGCACCAGCCCCTCGGAGCCCAAGCTCTCAGTCTTCTCTGGCACCAGCGTTGGCGCCAGCCCCTCAAAGTCTAAGGACGTGGTGAACATTGAGATCAGCATGGGCAGTGACAAGGATGGGGACAAGGGCTCTTCTGGGGACAAGGCTGAATATCAGGGGCTTCCTGAGCCCACAGTGCAGGCCAAGGTCAAGACCGCCCTGAAGGTGGGTTATGGTGACCCCCTGTGACCTCCTAGGAACCACACCAAGGGATTGATTCCCTCCTCCTATTCCACCAGAGCTGCTGCCCAACCCTGCTGGCCCTGAACAGGAGTCAGATGGGCTGGAATGCCCATGAGAACTTTTGCTGAGACCCTCAGGGGAGCCAACAAGAGAAATAAAGTATGTGTTTTGTTTAAAAAAAAAATTCTGACAAAGTTCATTTGGTAGTTTATCTGGTTTCAGAAAAGGTTCATGAACCAGCAGCACAGGCTCGATGAGGTGTGCTCCACCAGAGAAAAGCCGGTATTTTTATAAGAGATAAAAGGCAGAGAGAGAGAGAAACAAAACAAAGTAAAGCATCTTTCAGATATTTTGATATACCATTAGGTCATGCAAGAGCAGGACATACAGAAAGCCCAAACGTTTAAACTAATCTGTTTTAAAAGGTCTGATTACCGTCTGAGCTAAAACTTCTGAGCAAGCAGGCAGAAAAAATGTGCAGGTCGAAAAAAATGTTCGTACGTACCAATGAGGTCAACAACCAAACCCACTGCTGTCAAGTCAATTCTGACTCATAGCAATCCTATGGGACACAGTAGAACTGCTCCATAGGGTTTCCAAGGAGCGGCTGGTGGATTCGAACTGCTGACCTTTTGGTTAGCAGCAGAGCTCTTAACCATTGCACTACCAGGGTTCCAGTGAGGTCAAAGGAGATAAAAATTTCAAACGGTGGCAGGCGCCTGAGGTGCAATGGTCTAAGCCTCTTTAACTCCATCAAGTCTGGAGAATTAAGTACAGATTCAACAGTTTATGGGGCACAATTTCCTCCTCCTGAGATGTTAGCCCCCGTTTCTGTTCCTCCACCTTACCCTCGAGCAGCAGCTTTGGTGGGCCCAGCCCTGGCTGTGGCTTGGCTATATGGTGGCGGGCAGTACTCCAGCATCTTCCCAAACACCATGCCGCTGGTACCCCAAGGCTGGCCCCATCCCCTGATGCCTTGCTTCCTTGTGACCTCTTTGCTGAGTGGTTCTTCTCAACTCTAATCTTCCTGGCTCTTAGAGCCTCTTAGGACTCGTGGTCCCCAATCCCTCTTTCTGTGAACATGCACCCACCCTCTCTTGGCTCCCACAGCCACTTGTCTTCTGGTTTGTGTTTCCCAGGCCTCTCCAGAGAATCTGGAGTTTCCATTGTGGATTGGCTTCGTGGGATGAACAGCTGAGCTGTGGCTGGCCCCTTGACTTCATTCAGCAGTGGCTGTGGGTGGGGTGGCTCTCTCTAGAGGGCCTATGGGTACAGCAGGTGTAGCAGTTGGCAGATCTCACCTCCATGTGTGGCTTTTGGGTGCCGCTAGCCCCCTCCTTCCCTCTGCCTTCCCAGGGCAGCCTGCGTGCTGCCTTGTCCTGGCACCTCCACCCAGGGGACAGTTCAGCCCTTCCCCCAACCAGCATGCGCCACGGCTGGGCCTTGGTAGTAGCTGAGAGAACACTGGAAGGTCTCCACTCTGCCTCCTGGGTGCAGGCTGCCATTGGGGGAGTCTGGTGGGTCGCCTTCCCCGTCCCCTGGAGGCTGACCCTCCCTCCTCCTGCCTGCCCCACCACCGCTGTGCATAGAAGCTAGGCCTGCTTAGCCAAGCCTGACCATGATCAGTGGGCCAGGTGTGAGGACACAGCCATGACAGAGCTCCTTCCGAGCCAGACAGAGAGTCCCTTTCAACACCACTCCCATGCCATGACATTTGAGGAGGACTTTCTCAGTGGCCAGGGCCTTAAGGTGGTTGGTTAGGGACCCACTTTTTTCCATGAAGCTCTTGTGGCAAGGGAGTCGCTGGGTGTCAGAAACAGTTAATGCACTCAGCTGCTAACCCAAAGATTGGCAGTTCAAGTCCACCCAGAGATGCCTCAGAAGAAAGGCCTGGTGATCTGCTTCTAAAAAATCAGCCACTGAAATCCTGTGGAGCACAGTCCTACTTTCACACACATGGGGTTGCTATGAGTCAGAGTCAACTTGACAACATCTAGTTTTACCGGTTTATCTCAGCAAGGATCTTTTATAGCACAGGCTCAGCTTAGAATGACCATTCCCCAGTGGCCACCCACCTCCACCACTGCAGTGTAGGGCCACAGCAGCCCTTTTCATACTTTATTGTCCTACCACTTGGCCACAGTTGGTTGGCCCAAGCAGATTCCCTGTTCCAAGCTAGGCCAGTCAGATTCTTCCCTGGAGCCTGCAGTTCGGTTGGACCGAGAGGTTCTGGTTTAATTTGCATCGACTGCTGAAGACAAACTTGAGTGATGTGGAGCAGCCATCTTTCATCCCAGTTCAGAGAGGCAGAGAAATCCTGTTGGCAGAAGAGAGCCAAGAGGAGAGACTTAAGACCTGAGAAACAGCAGCTGCCATGCTTCCCACCAGCTGTCCAGTTCCTGCTGCCAACTCCTCAAGGAAGAAGACAACATATCCCCACTCTAGCCTCAGTACATGCCTAGGAACTGTCCCTGGGGACACACTGTTCTAGAGACACCTTTCCTTAGATCCTGTTTCGTGTGTCTATTGCTGTGTAACAAACCACCCCAAAACTTTATTGACTTCAAACAAAATGATTCTTTCTCATGATAAAGAAAAGGTAAGGTGAACAGGCTTAGCTGGGCCGTGGTGTAGGCCGGGGTTGCTCATGGGGCTGCTTTCAGCTGGGAACTGGGTGGAGGCTGAGGCTGGAACAGCCCAGGGTTCCATCTCCAACACCTGAGATCTCTCTCCATGTGGCCTCTCACCATTCCGTAGTCTAGCCTTCACATCCTTACAGCATGGTGGCAGGCTCTCTAGAGGGATGGAGTGGAAACCAGGGATGCTGTACGGCCTATGCTCAGAATGGCACTTCTGGGCTTTCTACTGGTCACAGCAAGTCGAGATGCCCGCCAGATTCAAGGGGAGGGGAAGTGGACACCATCTGTTAATAAGAGGAGAGCTTGCAATTGTGGGGATGGTCATGTTTGGATACTAGTTATCATACCTTCCCAGACCCACAGCTGATATGCCATGAGCAGTCCCTGGACCTGAGTTGAGCCTATAAGATGCATTTATTATTATTATTATTATTGTTACTATTGTGGTGAAAATACACACCAAAACATTTGCTAACATGTAAAATTCAGTGACACCGATGGCATTCTTCAAGTTGTGCAACCATTCTCACTATCCTTTTCCAAAGCATTCCAGTACAACTAACATAAGCTCAATGCCCCCTAAGCAAAAACTTTCCTTTCCCCCTCCCTCTGACTCCTGGTAACCACTAATAATCTTTGTTTTCTATGTTGTTGTTAGATGCCATCGAGTCAGTTTGGCCTCAACGACCCTGTGTACGACAGAATGAAACACTGTCCAGTCCTGCCCCATCCTCACAATTGTCGCTGTGTTTGATCTTATTGTTGCAGCCACAGTGTCAGTCCATCTCCTTGAGGGTCTTCCTCTTTTTTGCTGACCCTCTACT